ATTAGATGTGAATTTATTATTATTATTATTATTATTATTATTATTATTATTATTATTATTATTATTATTATTATTATTATTATTATTATTATTATTATTATTATTATTATTATTATTATATTCATCGTGTATATATAAATATAATTGATTTGAAAATATTAAAAAATATTTTTTAAAATATATCATGAATTTCATATTTAAATTAAATATAATTAATTATATCAAGATTAAATTAAAATATATTAAATAAATTATAATAAATGATTAAATACGTATAAAACAAATAAACAATTTTTTCTTTTTAAATTTAAAATATATTTTATGTAATATCCCAATTAATTTCATAACATGAGATTACTACTAATTAGTAGATAAATGGTAATACTTAGAGTCGAGATTATAAAAACCGGACCGGATCGGCTGGTTCAACCGGTTAAACTGGGAACCGAGCCTATGTCCGATGAATTAAACCCTTTTAATTGGTCTATCAAGGAACCGGGGCAAAAGTCAGAAAATTGAGTGGAGCCGAGGCAAAAGCTAGAAAATTGAGTGAAAACCGGGAAAACCGGTCAAAACTAGGGGTTCATCCAATTACATGGGTTGAATCGAATTTTTATTTTTTCAATTTTTTTATTTATTTATTTAAAATAAAAATATGGAGAAAAAAAAACCAATTTAATACTATTGAATCAAATGGGTCTTATAATTGAAGACCTTACTCTAACCCATTCAGAATTTGGATTTTCTTGATAATAAGACTTAGAATTCTTTTTCATAAATATACTCTCTAATTTATTTTCTAAAATTTTGAGTGTCAGACATAATTCATTAATAGTATTATGATCATCCTTTCACAAAGTTGACAACACTAATAAAAAGAAACGTATCTTCTTAAATTCTAATATTCTTTGGCCTAAATCAAGCACCATCTAATATATTTTACATAAGATACAAAATTCTAGCATTTTTAACTCTTTTTCAAACTGATGATAGTTAAGAAATTATAGGAAATAAAATTCACCAATATTCACCAATCTATATGATAAATAACTAGTACTAAATCATATCACATATACAATAACGGTCCAACCCTCGGTCCGACCCGGTCATACCTTTAAACCTTAAACCCCAGCCTATATCGGTTTAATATTCGGTCTGATTTTAATTACCTTGCTTAGAATATAATGCAATTTTATGGTATTAGTGGCCAAGTTGTAATTTTTGAGTAATTGGAAGGGCAAATTTGTAGTTTATCCATAAAAAGTCAGAGAGAGAGAGAGCATAATCTCTTGCATGTGTGTATCTTTTTAGAACTTGAAGCAAGGGGTTAAAGCATTTTCATCACTATCATTCCATCAAGTGTTCATCATTATCTTCCTCATTTCATAATCTAATATTCAAATCCAGGTTTGATTAAAGGTTACAAATGTGAATTTTGGGATTTTATGCATGTTTGGACAAATGGGATTTTTCACGAGAGCTTCAATTTGTGAAACATGTTTGGGAATTTGTTGATTCATGTTGTTCATGCAAAATTGATGTGTTATGAATCTTGTTGTGAATTGCGATAAAATTCAATATCAATTTTTGAGGCAAAGAACAATAGCAACCAAAATAAATGGTCTTCAGCAATAATAATCCGTACACAGATAATATAACAGAATAAGGCAAGAAAAAATCAAAGATTTGTTTACTCAGTTCGATCAAACGATCTACTCTGGAGGAGAGAGCAGCTCTCCAATTCACTATACTCAGAAAGTTGTTACAAGAGATTACAGATGAGTTACAAGAAAATAGTATTCGCCTTCAGGTTCCCAAGGACAACCCTGAAGACGCCCAAGAACAACCCTATTTTCTACCCAAGTGTTTCTCTACCTCTCCAACACTCAATATATGAGTCACTCAAACCCAAGGTGTAATCCGAGGCTTTATTTGTGCATAGCTAAAACCTTATGTTATACCTTTAAACCCTTGGTCTCCCTCGTTGGTGAAAACTATAAGATTGTCACACACCAAGCATATAAGAGATACATATTTATAATAGCAAATACCCAACAAACAAAGCCCAAAATCACATGGATCCATGGACCGAATCGAAAAAGTCTGAAAACTCGAAAACACTATTCACCTTATGGACAACACTATTGACCGTACGAACATCACTATTCATTCGTACGGATATCACTATTCACCGTACGAACGACACTATTCACTGACTGTTTTTTCCCCGACTTTTCGTCCGACTTTCTCAAACTTCTGATTTTCCTGGTAAATGCAATCTCCAAAATATATTTTCTTTCTCTTCATCAACAAAGGTTTTAAGACACATTTACAACATGATGATATATATTTGTGTGGATTTTGTTTGATACTTGCATTATCGTGCATGATTCATCTGGTATGATAGGTAGTATGATTAAATTGTGAAAATGCATTTTTGGATTGATTTTCTGGGTCTGATGCAGGAAAATGCATCTAGTGTATCGTGACGAGCTAAACGTCATACAACCAGGATGGATGACGATCGTCATCTCCCAAGAACCCCAGTGACGGGCGTGTTCACAATTGATGATCGTCAGCGTGCTGACAGGTGTCACCAAAGCGACGGTCGTCATGACCATGATGACCTGACTGCCATCTTGGGTGTATCCAACCCTTTTTTGTGTAATTTTTGGATCCTTGTTGAGCAGCCTTGTCCCTCTGAGGATTTGTGCATCATGTCCAAATGAGTATATAGGACGATTAATGAGTAATACTAACTTCGACGAGTTGTACACTGTAAGTTCCAAAAGTGGGATGGCATGTAAAGTCCCTAAGACCAATCCTTGAGAGAAATGAGATTCTCAATAGTATACTGACATGTAACCTATAAGACCAATCCTTCAGGGCAGTGTCATGATAAGCTCGACTAAACGAATGATGTCTCAACAATAGGCCGACAAGTAAAATCGTAAGACCAATCGTAGAGGGACTTGTTTCTCAAAAGTCGGTCAAAAGATAAATTCGTAAGATAATTCTTTGAGAGAAATGAGTTTCAAAAGTAGGTCGACGGGTAAATTCATAAAACCAATCATTGAGAGAAATAAGTTTCAAAAGTAGGTTGATAGGTAACCCGTAAGACCAATCATTGAGAGACATAGACCCCCCAAAAGAAGGAAGACAGATAAATCCGTAAGACCAATTCTTGAGGGAGTTATCTCCCAACAGCAGATCGGTAGGTAAAACTGGAAGATCTAACCTTGAGGGGAGTAGTCTACCAAGTTTCATTGATATGGGACTTGAGTAATTAATAAGATGTTTGCGTATGCATGTGCATTATTTGTGTCATGATATAAAATTGGATAAGGTGAGGAGCCTTATAATATTATTCCAAGTTAATACCCATGACCGAGAGGACTCCTAAGATAAGAGAACTCCAATGAGATAAGTTGTATCTCACCCTATGTTAAATATATCAGGTGGCTCAGCTCAGCTCAGGAAGTAAAGACACGATGTCTTTAAGACTTTGAAGATATAAGGACACACACACACACACACACACACACACACACACACACACACACACACACACACACACACACACACACACACACACACACACACACACACACACACACACACACACACACACACACACACACACACACACACACACACACACACACACACACACACACACACACACACACACACACACACACACACACACACACACACACACACACACACACACACACACACACACACACACACACACACACACACACACACACACACACACACACACACACACACACACACACACACACACACACACACACACACACACACACACACACACACACACACACACACACACACACACACACACACACACACACACACACACACACACACACACACACACACACACACACACACACACACACACACACACACACACACACACACACACACACACACACACACACACACACACACACACACACACACACACACACACACACACACACACACACACACACACACACACACACACACACACACACACACACACACACACACACACACACACACACACACACACACACACACACACACACACACACACACACACACACACACACACACACACACACACACACACACACACACACACACACACACACACACACACACACACACACACACACACACACACACACACACACACACACACACACACACACACACACACACACACAATTGATGAGATTTCCAGTTTTATACTTATATTTTATCACAAAGTTCAATAATAGATTTATATATAACAATTTGTCATGTTTTACAAGTAGATTTTTTTTAAGAATTAAAATATCATTATTTTTAAATGTAAGAGTAGGAGAGGGTGACCAAAATTGTTTAAATTTAAAATAGAGAGATCAAAACTGTTTAAATTTAAAGGAAAATGCTATCTGAGTGTTTCCGGAATACTGGTTAAGAGATTAAAATGATAAGTTTTACATTATTTAAGAGATTAAAAAGACATATTTTTTTTCTAAATAAAGTCACTGAAAAGAGAAATAATCAATTTAAAAAAAAATATTGTGTGTATTGAATAAATTAAATATAATATATATTTTTTATTTAAAATTTTTAACTAATTAGCATGACCCAAATTTAAAATAGGATCAATTTTATAAATCAAGCGGTAGCTTAGTTTTTATTTATAATATTTTAAAAAAATTAGATTGCCATTTTTAAAAAAAATTGATTTACAAAAATAATTTTCTTAAATTAAAAACTAAAATTCATTCCAACAAACTTTAAAATTTCAAAATTCTAATTAAGAATAAGAAATCCCTAGATTTGCCGAAAGTGTTTTCTGGTATTAATAGTAACACGCAAAGTGAAAGCACAAATAAAAAGATTGCACTCACTTTGTAACCCAGAGAGAGTGCAAAGGGAAAAACTTATTCCTTTTTAGGGTTCTATCAAAAAATCCCAAATCCTCTTTCATCATGGTCACCAAAGTCAGAAAACCATCCCATGCTGGTTCTTGGTACACCGATAATCGTAAGTTTCTTCAATCAATTAACAAATTCATATTCATATCAGGATTAATTCTAGAATTTAAATTTTCTGATCAGATTCAAAGAAAAATTTTTAATTACTGTTTTTTCATGATTATTCTATTGTGCAGTTAATGTTAGATTATTAATTAACTGCGGCGATATCGCGATTATTGATATTGCTGAGAATCACAGTCGAATATGAACTCAATTGCATTGAGGTTTCAGTAGTTTCAAAGACTGCTGTGTCGTGATATCGGTAGAAGTGGCGGTCTTTCGTTTAAAATCCTGATTTTTTTTAATGGTTGAATTTTTTAAAAAATGTATGTGATTTTATTTGATTTGATGGCTTGAAACATCTTACAGAACAGGGAAGCTCTGAGAAATTAAAGTTTTTCGCTTTATAGTTGTTTTTAATGGCTTTGCAAAATTGCAATTTCAACTTGCGAATGCAATTGTGGTTTCATCTGACTTATTCTGTATAGTATCGAAGATTTCGATTGTGATGCAACCTATATTTAAAAACTTGGTGACTAGCAGAGTTTCAAAATAATATTTCTCTATTTTTATGGTTAATTTATTTTTTCAGCTAAGAAGCTTTCAGAAGAGCTAGAAGGATGGCTGAATTCGAGTGGTTTAACCAAATCTTCTGATGTACGGGGAGTAATAGCACCGTAAGTGAATGCATTGGACTTGTGATGTAACCCTTGATTGAAAAATTTAGGTTAATTTTTCAAATACATTTTGAACATCAAGTTTTAGAGAAGTCCAATTTTTTTTAAAAAATATTTTATGATTTGAGATAATCAATGCTAATGTGTTTGTACTGCATTGGATTGTTGTGTTAGACATGCAGGTTATTCCTATTCAGGACGAGCTGCTGCATATGCATTTGGAAACATTGATCCATCTAACATGTATGTTTATTTTTTGTTCGTTCCTCTGACTTCCCATTTTCTCTACAATCTTATGGATTGTTATTGTTGTTTGTTGTTGATGGTGCTATTGTTTTCTTTTAATTTTGTGATTTCAGCAAACGTGTTTTCCTACTTGGTCCTTCTCACCATTATTACACTCCAAAATGTGCTCTTTCAACTGCAACAGTCTACAAGACACCCATTGGAGACCTTCCTATTGATATAGAAGGTAGTGATCATTGTATGAACTATGAAATGTGAAATTTTGTATTGAAAATTGAAACTATACAATAAATCTACATATTTATATTCAAGAGAGAATTTCATAGGAAAAAGAAATGTCTAAACTAGATAAGGAAACTATATGAAGTAATAAAGAAAAAGTAGTTGATCATTATAATTATAATCAACATTCTTCTATCTGAGTTTTGGACCAATTTTCCATTGAGAACCGATTCATTTTGTTTGACTTTAATATTGGCTTCTGTGTTTCCTTGCTGCACATTTAATTCTCCATTGTTTTACCAGTAAACGAGCAACTTAAAGCTACGGGAAAATTTGAGACGATGGATATTCGAGTTGATGAAGCTGAACATAGCATGGAAATGCACTTGCCATATCTTGCTAAAGTATTTGAAGGGTAAGTTTTGTTAAATAGTGGCTCCAGTTCTTGAAATTTGTCTCAGAGAGATTGAGTTTGAATAGTGAAACAGGCACCCAGTGAAAATCGTACCCATTTTAGTTGGTGCTGTTAGTGCTGAGAGTGAAGCTATGTATGGAGAGACTCTTTCTCAATTTGTAGATGATCCCACTAATTTCTTCTCTATTTCATCAGATTTCTGTCACTGGGGATCTCGGTATGTGCTTTTATTTACATGTTGAGCTACCTTATTTCTTTCTCTGTTTCTTTTCTTAAGATCTTATGAAATTATACTCTTGCAGTTGTTTTCTAAGAAATACTAATAAAAATAAAATCACACACAAATAAACATTCAAAGTCCAGTCATGTTTTCTGTGATTTATTTACTTGATTGATGTTGTTTGAGTTAAGATAATATACTTCATTGGTAATTATGATTCTTTTTCCCTCTAATTCTAGTGGTGGCTTGACTGTATTACCACTATCTATATTACACCGACCCCATCTGGATAAACAACTTAATTGAGCACTTGCAGTATAAATGCTTATGTTTATTTTATTTCTAAAATAAAACATTAATTGAAGTCAAATTATTTTTATATAAGTTGTCGTAGAGAACTTATGGAAATAAGCTGAAAGCAATTTATAGACATGCCATAAACTATTTTCTTAAACTCTCCCAAACAGTTTCGAAAGTTTTAACGTTATACCGTATATAAGCTCAATAAAGCCAATCTGAACTGACCCCCTCTCTTCTTATTGTCCATGTCTATGTATTCTGATGGATATCTCATTTCCATCATAAGTTTGAATCTGGTACTGATCGTGTCTTGTGACTGGTATTTTATGCCAGGTTCAATTACATGTACCATGATAAAAATCATGGACCTATTTACAAATCCATTGAAGCCTTGGACAAAATGGGCATGGATATCATAGAAACCGGAGACCCTGATTCATTCAAAAAGTATCTGTCAGAATATGACAATACAATCTGTGGACGCCATCCAATTAGTGTTTTTCTCCATGTAAGTTCCTTATAAATTTTCATGGAAATAATTCTTGCCAAATTTGAGAGTCAACCATATTTCCCAATATTATATTAACTTTCAACATCTTGCAAATTTATCAGATGCTGAAGAATAGCTCAACAAAGATAAAAATCAAATTTCTTTGCTACGAGCAGTCCAGCCAATGCCATAATACTAGAGATAGTAGTGTTAGTTATGCATCTGCAGCCGCAAAGGTTGATGATTCAAACTCTAACTAAAGGTTTACCTTGTTTAACGGGGCATTGAAAATTTGATTTCTTTTTAAATTGAATATTTATATTTAAGCTTGGAACAAATGGAGATTATAGTCCTTATCTTGTAGATTATTGTCACCAAAATGTGTAGCTCACCTTTATAGACTGGGAAGTTGTCAAACAAAGAAATTCCATTACACTCCCAGTTGGTGTTCCAACTAACTTTTGGAAAGTTGTGGCTTCGAACATATGATTTGAACATGTTATCATGGTTGCATTGCAACCATTAAATCCTTAAATTTCAATGTGTTAACAGCTTTGCTTTCCGTTGTGTTATCTGTGGTGATGCTGCAGCTGTTGATTTTTGTTTTTATCAAAGTTGTTACAAATTATTAGACAAGCAGCATCTTTGGTTATCTGGCATGAAAATTCCTTGGTTGCCGAACTCTATATTCCTTTCACCCATCATTGACCCTTAACTGTAAAGATTAATTAATAATTTTATTTAGAATGCAGATAAATTGTTGGTCAAATTATTAGACAAGCTTACCCCCAACATCATCCATATTTTGCTTTGCTTGATGCTATTATTCTTCAATTAGGCCAAGCTATTCTAGCATGATTATATTCCTCCTTCAAACCCACCCTATTTTGGAGGATCGTTCACACAAGAAAGTAACTATTGATGAAAATATGATCATCATAAGTCTTTCCATGGTTTCCCAATGTGACCTATGTCTCAAAACCACTAAGATAATGCAATTTTTTTTTCGAGTGTCATTTTACTTCTAAGATTTGGAATTGATTCAGTCAATCAATCATCTACATATTGATAAAAGCTATGATTTGGCTCTTTTGCAAATATGCTTCTTGTCCTTTTTCAAACAGTGTAAAACTATCATTTTCGTTGCTATTTTGAACATGGTTTATATTATTTGGTTTTGCACAAACATAGTGGGATTTAACCCCAAATAAAGTCATTTTTTACAAGCAAGCCATCAATTTGACAGCGAACACTACTCCATCTTCAATTTATGACTATAATCTTCAAGGCATTCTTGCATTAATCTCATCCTATTAGAGCTACTTGAATAATTGCAGTTAATTGGTATCCTCCATTTTGTTTATAAAACAAAAAAAGTATCCTCCATTTTGTTTATTAAACTAAAAAAGTATCCTCCATTTTGTTTATAAGTTATAGCACTACACGAGGGAATCTTGAACATACAACATGTGGTGGAATTTTCATAAATAGTAATGTTGAGGCTTTAGGCTTCTTTGCTTCCTATATCGGCATTTCAACATTACTTCATGTTGAGTTGGTTGTTGTTATGCTAGCCATTAAACTGACTTGTAAGAAATCTTGAAATTTTCTTTGGCTAGAATGACCCTAAACTTGTAAAGTTAGATTTAAGAACAAGACAATTATTCCATCAAATCTCATTACTAGAAAGCGTAACTGTTAAGAGATTCTTAAACATATGTATCATATTTATAAAAAAGGAAAACAGTGTTACAAGATTGTCTCTCTTAATATGGATGATTCCAGTTTCACTTGGTGAGAGACCATATTCCTAACGATATATTTGAAGTTTATAATAATTATAAGTTTGATCCTTAAAAGTTTGGATTTAATCAATGAATTTATTGTATTAAAATTGCACATTTTTCTCCTTCATTAAGGTTTTGTTATAATAGATTTTTCTTGATAAGGTTTTTATGAGGAAGTTGATCAATAATTTTGATCTCCGTTGTTATCACCTTGAATTTTAACACCTTGAATTTTAACCCAAGCCCTCCAAACTTTTGTTAATTTTTTTATTTTATTTTTATTAGAGTTAGAACAATTTGAGTGAGAGTCTTCCGGTTCAAGCTAATTGAGATATATCATATGTGCTTCATCATTTGTTTCGCTTAACATTTTTGCTTTTAAAAAAAACTACTCCTATCTCAGAATTACAAAAGAATGCAACTTTTTAAGAGAGGAATATATGAAAATTTGGGGAGAGCAAAGCACCACAGAAAAGAGAGGAAAAAAGAAAAGAAACATACAATTTGCTGTCTGGATGGTTCAATATTATTAATACACAGTATAGTAAACCATATGCTTTCTTTGAACTTTTTCCTCTTCAATACTTAATCATGAAGTTTTTATACAGACAATAACATCAGAGGAGGACTATGATCATAGCACTTCCAAAATATCAGGTGAGCTCTCCAATGGCCAAAGTCCATGAATCTGTTAGTTATCATTTCGGTTTCACTATTTTCACATCTAAAAGAATGAACAGATCAATGTAGAAAAGGATTTATATTGGTCGACTGAAAACCTCTGAATGATGCATTGTATAGTGAAGGATGTGATCAAGACCAGCCAATCAAGCCAAAGAGCATAGCATATCTGAAAATTGGGCACCATTAGTATGTGCAAAACAAATACAATTAAGGGACATGCACAATTAGTGTAAATTAGGCAATATATAATATGATATGACAAATTGGCGAGTTAGCAAATTTAGAGTGAAAATTACACATTAATTATTTTGACCCAAATACATTTTCATTTTTCACCGATTCAATGTCAAAAGTAGTAACTGCAAAAATATGAGAGGATTGGGATATCACCTTGTGTGGTACTACTGCAGCAAAGGCGACTGTCGTCTATATATGTTGATTGGATGCCCATCATCCATGATCCTATTGATGTGTCATCATAGGCATAGGTCTTCAAAGATACACTACATTTTATTTTCAGATTGATCAAAGATATATTACTAGATAGGAAGATAAAATAGAAAAAAGTATCTTTCAAAAGAAACGAGTTAAAGAAAAAGCAACATTTAATACCATCAAGACTAACCTGTTTATGTTAATATATTGTGCCAAATTCTTTGAAAGTATAACAAGTGAACCAGATGCGTGTCGGAAATACCTAATTACAAAATAAATCAATAGAGATGAGATATACATTGTCAGAAATAAAACAGTTCAATATGGAGATCCATACTAAAAAAAATATAAAAAATTCATGTGCAATATTTATATATAAAGAGACTTCAGTCAAAAGTATCCAACATCATTTTCCATCAGGAGTTATAACTTATAATATCATAGAGATTAGTATGCTGAAGTTAAAAATTAATTGTTCCCTCTAATGTATGTTAGTACTTGGCACTGATGTGATATATTGTGAAGACTGAAGATCATTAATTTACCCATTCAATGATATTTGGTTTCAACAAATAATATATTAAGCCATAATTACCTTGAAGATCATTTCTGAACAAACAAAACAAAACAAAATAAATCACCAAACATTTTCTCATCTAAATGGTATATTACTTACGATTTTTCATCCCCAAATTTCCACCAATCAGGTTCATACCAAAGCTTTCCCCTGGAAAAAAAAAGGATAAAATACAGAACATTTAAGTTGAATAAAATCACAATTGAAAGGTCAAATTTGTAAAAAAATTATGAAACAAAATGAAATTGTAGTTATGAAAAAGAAAATAACATGCGATAAAGAAATATAATTGTACTCAGAGAGAAAAGATTTAGCACATATCAATTCAAAATAAAAACTTTCTTTACTCATTAGAAATTAAGACACTGGTTGGGAATATCTAAACATCAGGGAATATCTAAACACCAGGGAATGCAAATTTTCTTGGTAAAAATGAGACATGCCTAAACACTTGCAAAGGGATGAAAATTAAGATGATCGGTTACATCCACAAATGTGGTAACTTCAGAGTATTTACTGAAAAATAAAAACCTACAGTAATAACTCTACAAAAATGGATAACAGATAATAATGAATAAAATTCAACCCAAGTTCCATTTTAAAAAATGAACAATTTTAGACAGCTTAAAACAAAATCTTCTAGGACCATCTACACCACATAAAAACTGGCAAATATTTCCTCAGATCTATTATCATAAATAAATAGTCAGAATTAATTCAGATAGAGGAAAGTACTCTTCTGATATCACGTCTCCTGACTTCATGCATCCAATATATGCGCCATCCTGGCCACGGCGATGTTCAAGAAGTTTAATTAAACCCTCTGTTAGGCCAGTGAATAAAGTTAAGACTCAATTTCAGATTGTAAATTATAGTTAGTTTAACAAAATCTCCTAAATACATGTATTCATTATTAAGCCATCTTTACCCAGATCAATGTTAATATTGTCATCGACTTTCACATAGAAATCAGCATCCCAGTTCTGAACTGCAGTACTAAAGAATATTTTTGCTTTTTTAGGCAACTCTTCTTGAGCTTCCTCGTGATTTTCCTATTATAACAAAAACAAATGATCAAGCTCTATGCTAAGCTTGTTTAACAAGGTTCAATGACATGGAAGCATGCTCGAATGAGCATATTTTATTTACAAAAGAATTGATAAACACATTTGCAATAATTGTGCTTTCCTCTCTCCCATCAAAACTTCAGTTGTACCAGAAAAATAATTTTTAACCACCACATCATTGCTTCAAGTTTCCCTAAGAATGGTTGGAAGATTTAAGAAAAAAATGTGAATTTTAAATGAGGGGAGATATTATCAGTTTGCAAATAAATGTATTAGATAACCCTGGATGGTTAATATCCTACATATTAAGCATCTAAATAAGCAAATATTTAAAATCAATTCAGTGCTTCCAGTCCACTTACACAATCCATGATAAAAGATAGAGCTAATTTAAGTTACGGCAAACGTGTTACTTACAAGAATCAAGAAATCCTTTGTTGAGCGGTTTTCATCATCAATATTGCGATCCAAGCTATCACCTCGATTAGGACTGTTAATTACAAATTTTTAGGTCAAATAAAAGTTCAAAGCACTTCTAGTTAAGACAATGAGAGTACTGCCAAGGGAATAATAAGATCAGATAACTAATCAATAAATGTTCAAGAAAATATGTATTGAAATAATAGCTAGTAAGGATAAGTGCGTGGAGAAACCTCCGACCAAGTACAAAACGTACGACCACTCCTCTTTCTTCAAGTTTTTTCAAGGCATCACCTACCGTAAATGAGAAGAGAAAATGTCAGTGATATATACCTAACCTAAGAAAATAACCATCCAAATAATACTCAACTGAATCAAACCCAACGTACTAGTCGAGAAGCATAAAAATCCCCATTAAAAGTTAAGACAGTCTCTTGTGTAACTTCATATTAGATTCTCAGTCCTCGTTCAAAAAACTCATAATAGTATAACACAATTAAATTTCCTTATTAGAGAAACACAAAAGACCAGAGGTAAACCAACTGACTATGTTCTCATTATTCAAAAAAGCATATGTTATATATCAAGTCTAGGTTCAGAGTTATTAATCCCAGATAGCTTAGCAAAAGCGGCCGACCCCAAAAATGGAATAGCGGATAGCGGGATAACTTTTTGGAGTAATTATATGAATAATCTACCTATATATTTAATGTAGATCAAATAAATTTTTGGACTAATTATATGAATAATCTCTGTATATTAATTCCTGAATCAATATATTTTAAAAGGAAAAAAACAATGATATGAAAGAAAAAACAACCTGAAAACAAATAGAAAATCAATGAATAGAGAAGAACAGGATAGAGAACAAAATACAAAAGCAGAAAACAGAAATAGAGAAGACGAAGAATAGATGAAGAATAGAGAGAAGCTTGAAGCAGTTGAGGTGGAGGAGGAGTTAGGGCAAGAGAAGCAGCGAACAGAAGAAACGCGAGAAGCAGCGAACAGATGAAACGCGAGAAGCAGCGAACAAAAGAAACGCGGTGGAGTAAGGTGAAAACGCAAATGAGAGGAGAAAACACCAACGTCTATAACAAATTTCCCAATTTAAAAATTTTTTAAGGGTAAAAAGGTCTTTTTGCACACCAAAAAAGCCCTAAAAGCAGAAAACCGCTCCGGGCCGGGAAGCTATCACAGCTTTCCCGGCCGCTATCCAAAACTGGGATGCGTGCCGCTCCTCCGTAGCTGAGGGTTGCGCACCGAGAGAGAATCCAGGGATAGCGCCTGGAGCGGCTATTAATAACTGTGACTAGGTTTGACTTACTAAACCAATACTATTATGAAAAAGTTGCATAAAACACATGTACAATATGAACATAATAATAACAAAAAGTTAACAAGATGTTTTAGCATAATGCCTGCAGTGCATTATATCTTTAACACAAAATACTAAAATTATCCTATGAAAGTAAACATAGAAAACTAGAAATCCTTAAATCATGAAAACGGCAATAAACCATCAAAGTATAAATTAAAAACCAATCTTCAAGAAACTTTTAAGGATGCCAAAATCCCGCTCAATTTCAAATTAAGAGGCATAAAGTCACTCCCAAATTTAAATTGCAATTAAGATCATTGTCTTCTACTAAATTAAACTTGAAAAACAAAGTCCACATCTTAGCAAATGAAATTGATCTCAATAAAAATGAATTAAAAGAGTATTGAGCCTTAGATCAAGTCTCACCAAGACCAATTTTCCTCTACTTTAGCCTACCCTCCCTCTCCTTAGACAAAGTCACAGACCTCCTTCCTAACTAAGAAAAGGCACAATAGCAGGAAGAAAAGAAAATGACATCAACTAGTGAATTTCCACCAAAATCTAAACATACCTCTAGGCATCCAAGACCCTCTGAATACATTTCTTTTCAAATGGCTTCCAAATCCAGTATACACTCCAATAACAGCAAGAAGCCTACGGTCAGAAGAGGCGGTTTGCTGCCGTTGCCCTTTGAGGTACCCTTGGCTCTTGGCCAATGTCAATTCCATCTCAGTTTCAACAATCCTCTTTTCCAGATCCCTAATAAACAACATATACACAAACCCATACAATACATCAGAAAAAAACAGTGTTGTCAAATAGCAGATATATCAGCATTATAGCATAATTTGAAGAAATTGATATTGTTTGGTCATACATTATTTATTATAAAGTGTTGTCACATATGTGCTACAACACTATAGCACAGCAGAGTTTGAACAAACTACTATTTTGCCCAATCAACAATTAACAACACCAACAAAAACAAACTAAATATCACCACGTAAATCAACCCAATCTAAAAATATATATAGCCTAAAATAACAACAAAAAAAAAAGAGAGCAAAATTACCTGCACCCTAGTACCATTAACTTATCTTCCAGAGTAAGAACCTTAGGTCTCTAGCAACAAGAAAGTGGCAATATCATAAGTTGATAGACTAAAAATGAATTTGAAAAGTAGCAGAGACCAAAACCAATATGAATTTCAAATTTCAAATTTCAACCGTAAGTAATCAAAAGTACTATAATTTATAGCAACAAATCAGCAGCTAAAACTGAAAGCAAACAGAGAAATTTGAAACTTATAACTGAAAATAAAGGAAAACCTCAGCTGAGTTCTTCTTAAGAAGACTAGCAAGTAAATTTCGGTTCTCTGCATCTTGCCATAACCTAAAATTTAGAGAAACGATTGAATCCGTTAACATTTCAATTTCAGATCACCAATTCAAAACGAATAGCACAAATTAAGAGGAATTGAATTGCAATCAGTGTATTTCCATCATGAATTGGATCGGAATCAAGTTTGCAGAAACAATTCTAAAAATATATAGATAACGATGAGAACTGAGGAAAACGAACCTGCCGGCGACGTAAAGCCAGGCAACACAAGAGCAGAAGGCTAAGAGGAGAGAAGGCTTTGATGTCTGAGGAACCTTCGATCTTGCTCCTCTCTTCGCCGTCGACGTCGTCGGCAATGTATCCATCTCCCACACGCAAAGGTTCTGTGCGTTTTCAGTTCACGATATCAATTGAAATTTATGCAAAATAATGAATGAACTCTGTCACTGTTATAGTTGCTAACTAACGTACAAAGAGGGGTACTATTTTATTTCTTTTTACGGGTAAAATAGAGAATTTTTAACCCAAATAATAACATTTTCAATTTTGTTTTCAAATAATCTAAATTTTAAAAAAAATCTCAGTCTATTCATATTTAAAAAAAAAATAAAAATTGAGACATACTAGTGGCGTTAAGTAAATTGGCAACTTCACGTGCTTTTTAAATGGTGGCACAAATTAAATTAACTTTTGCATATGATAATTTCAGTCTAATTGACACTAATCAAGATAACAAAAAGTCAAATAAAACATGGTTTAACTTAACAATCCCAACCCGATGTTACACTATCAGAGCAAGACCCTCTAAGTTAACCAAAACGACCAACAACTCAAAACTCCAAAAAGATCATCGACGGCATCCACGGCTAAACCTGATCATCTGCACGTTACCCACGTAGAGACAACATTCAAACAGACTGAGTGAGTAAAACGATTCATAATAATCAAAATAGGAAATCAATATATAAAACATCGTCATTTTCATATTATGCATCATCATATTCATCAATGGTCATCAAAGGCTACAACATCATAAATTACTTAAGATTATCTCATAAATGCAAATGCAACAAGACTCATGCATGTGGTACCAATCATCACAGCTCAATGGACACTGGGTCATCAACCCTCCATAGATCCCCATCAATAGGATCGATTCTATACAAGAACCGAAGCACATCAAAATACCTCACATCCGCACAATGGGACTGAAGCCAAAGAAATCAAGGTCCTGAACCGAAGTCCGGATGCACATAAATGCATGATGCACACGTCAATAATTATCCTCATAATAACATCATAGGTGCATCATCATTCATCAAAATCACCATCATCAAAATCATCAAAACTCATGGAACCATCATCATAACTCATCACATCACATCATAGGAATCATCATATAATCATGTACTAATCACATAGAAATCACAATCATACTCATATTAATTCATCAAAGAAATCACATCATCAAACATCAAGGCATCACCGCACAAAATCAGCATTCACGAAACTCTGCTACATTTGCTAGGAAGTTCGCTATGCGAGTCTGGGGCGAGTTTATTCGTTGTGCGAACACGCGATTACATGTTACGCACCGAAACCTAAAATCAACTCAAAAGCCCAACGATTTCCTTCCCCAATGCCCCCAAAACATCCCTAAGGTCTTACGGAGGTAAAGACACAAAATCTACGACTTATTAGACCAATCCCGTATCATATTCACGCTCTACTTCCCATAATTTCCTTACAACTACACCACGGTCATTAGAGTTTCTCACTATCTAATTACCCTACGGGGTTGAAACCTCAACGACAGATTTTGGCCACGAAGGCCTACTTTCCCGCAAACCCAAATCGATATCGAACCTATCAGACCATCAGTTTAAATCCCTATACGGTTAAAACCTCAATAATAGATTTTAGCCACGAAGGTCTAATTTCCTTTATCTCAAATCAACCTCAAAACCCTTAAACCCTTAAATCGGTTTTAAACATATTGAAATCACATATTGAAAACAATGAAGGCAATATTTCCCATACCTTAATTGCCGACTCTAAGCCTTCTCCTTGATTCTCAAAAACCTTGCTAAGCTTTTGTCTCAATCATCTTCCTAAGAGCTCTGACCTCTATTTCTTCCCTTTTCACGGTCTAACAAGAATGAATCATAATTCCCTCAAAATTTCTTTTTGTTAAACCTAACTTTGGGCCTATAAATTGGACTTTTCCAATATTACTCTCACTAACCCCTCCTTAATTGTCCAATTTTCCCTTAGTTAACTTATATTTATTTAAATTAATAATAATATCAATATATTCATATCATATACTATTATTTAAATAAATAACCAAAAATCCATAATTCTCAATATTTCATACCAACCACAGAAAATCACCAAAAATACGAATATTTATATTTAAATAAATTAAATAAATATTTCAATAAATTTGGAGTGTTACATCTATAGTCATATTTTTGTTCTCAATATATATCATGATCAAGATGATTAATAATAGTTTTGTCGATCACGCTACCACAATAGTCATAATGACATTGTGGGAAGACGAGGTCTCTGAAGTGTTTCTTGGATGAAAGCACGATTGATGATTTCAATTTTTGTTCTAGTAAATTTGGATAGGATACTTGTCCTTGTATTTTGCTCTCTTGGAACATGTGAAATCTTATATGTCTCAAATGAGCTCAATTTGTCTTTGACCGCGATTGTGTACCTTTATAATAATGGACTCTTGACTTGTCTATTCCATTTTACTTGGGTATCTGTCTGTAATTCAACTTCTTCTATTTCCATATGTCTATTCCATTTTACTTGGGTATTTGTGTGTAATTCAACTTCTTCTATTTCCATATCATATTCTAAAGTGAGCCCAATTGTGAAGGCTTCATATTTAACTTGATTGTTTATGGTGCAGAAGATAAATCACAAAGAAACTTCAATTGTAAGCCGTTTTTGCTCTCAATAATGAGGTCGAATCCACTTCCATTTCTATTTGATGACCCTTATGTGGAAAAAAAGCCCACTTCATGCATGTTTAAGAGGTATCCGGAGCTAATTGTAGGAAGAAATTAGCAAATATATGGGCTTTAAGGGGCTTTCTAGGCTCGAAGAGATATCAAACTATGAAATCTCAAGATACCACTTTTTCATCCACCCTGCCAAGTCTAACCTGAAGAGTATTTTTTTCAAAGGTTGATCAGTTTGGACTACTGTTTAATGTGATAAAAATTAACGCCACAATTTCCTTAAAGCTATCACTAAAGCAAAGGAAATATTTTAAATCTTTTGGTAGTGGGTTTCAGGACCTGTTAACACCTTGGAGATGAAATAGTATGGGTTGTGGTTGGTGCTTACCTCTCTCATGAGGAAGGCGCTTAAAATTTCTGCTAATATTTCCAAGTATATGAATAATGTCTCTACAACAATGGGTCTCGATAAAACTGGAAGTTTGAAGAGAGTGTGCTTCAACTGCGTGAATGATTGTTCTCATTATAGCGTCCACTTGAATTGTACTTCTTTCATCAAGAGTTTGTCAAATGGAAGAGCGAGTTAGGAGGATATGAAAATGAATTTGTTGAGGGTGGTGGGCATCATGTTCAACTTTGTTAGTTTTTATTTTGTGTACAGTGTCTTCATCTTGTTGATGGCATCTTATTTCTTTGGGTTTTGTTCAATCCCCCCTTTTGTGAGGTAGAATTCTAAAAACTTACTGACCTTTATCCCAAACGAGTTCAGACTCATGTTGTATTGGCGTACAATGTCGAATGTAACTGTAAGATTACCTTTATGTAGTTTATCTTCTTCCAAACTTACTATCGAGTCATTCATGTATATATTTAGCATGTCGCAAATCTCTTGCTCAAAGATCTTGTTCATTATTCTCTAGTAGGTGCACCTGCATTTTTAAACCAAAGGGAATTACATGACCTGTAGTTGGCATGCTCCGTCATGAATGTTGTCTTATCATGATGCTTATCATGCATTTAAACTTGATTGTATCCATAATATGCATCCATTAATGATAAGAGTTTGTATCATCTTGAGTTGCCGACTATTTTGTCAATGTTAGGGCTTTGGGGCAAGCTCTGTTGATGTCGGAGTAGTAAGAGCATATGTCTCACTTGCCATTTGCCTTCTTAACAAATACCACATTGGGAAACCATTATGTGTATTTAATTTTTAAATTAAATTTTTTAGTAGGAGTTTTTTTATGACGCTCTTAGTGGCTTCAAATTTCTCAGGTGATTGATGTGGTTTTTTTTGGCAACATACAAGTCAATGTTCAGTTGATAGCACACCACATTAGGGTCGATGTCTAACATCTCTTTGTGAAAATTTATAAATATGTTTGTTTGCATTACATTAGGGCATCCCCCCCAACCCAACCCCCCCCCCCTCAAGGAACTTAGGATATTTTCCCCAATCTTTGCAGTACGCATTGAGTTATCATAAAGTTGAACACACAAAATCGCCATCTAGGACTGGTATTGGAATCTTCATTTTGGCCTTGATGGAGAGAGGCATTTCTGATTCATGCTCGTCCTTGGACATGACTTCCTCTATACATGTGTTGAAGTTCGCGATGTTGACGTCTAGCAGGTGATGTCTGAAAGAGCTAACACCTTTTCCTATTCTTGGACGACAGTCCAGTCAGATTTTTCTACAAGGCTTTGTGTTAGCATAGGGATCATGCTAAATCTTCACATATGGTCACCACTTTGTTGTTGACATTGTGACATTTCATCTTTAAGTGGACATTAGACAATACTGCATCCAAAGCCGCTATAGAGGATCTCCCGATAATGTAATTGTAGAATATTTTGTACGAAACCACTATGAAATGGATATGTATCATCCTAATATTGCTCCCTTCTTCAAAGGTAACCAAAAGTTCGATGAAACACTAAGGGTGGGTTAATGTTCCATTAAAGACTTGCAAGTGTGTTTCCATATAAGATGATAGTGATTTTCTTCTCAAGTCCAGTTTGGTGAACAATTCAACACATATATAATGTCACATAAACTCATTTCGTTAATGATAATTTGTTAGAAGTCAAAATTAGACTATACAAGCACCGATTATAATATTTTCCTCTCGATGGTTCTCTTATATGGCATCTTTGGTGATAGATAAAATAAAATGGTAGCCTCCTGAGATTGAGGCTCTAGATGGTTGCTTTCCTTTCCTATATTCTTCCTCTTTGTTGTTATATCATCTCTTGATGATTCCGTTAACTGCGTGGAGATTCGCTCTAAGAGATAACTTTTCGTGGAAAATCCTTGTTCCCTTTGTTGTCTCCCACCCGTTCATCTTTCTTGAGATAAACTACCAAATATTCCTTTCTTGATCAAGCATTTGATTGCATTTTTTTAGATGGATGCTTTGATCAGCTTCATGTCTATAACATATGTGAAATCTCCATAATCTTATTTTGTCAACGTTTGGTGACTCCTTATTTTTGCACGTTCTTGCAGGATTCTCTCCCTAGGTGTATTTAGCAGGTATACTCTAATGATATATAGAAGAGAAAATCATACTTCTTAATCAATGGAAAACAATTTCGATTTGGTTTTGAAAAGAAAATCATTATTTGATAATAGAAGAGAAAAACAAAATTGATTTTCATAATTTTAGACAAACACAAAATAACATCCTTCTTTTCCTTATATATAAATAAAACATATAAACATTCGGATAATTATAATTGCTTTTTGTTCATGGAACATTTCTATATTGCCCCAAGTAAAATTCTCAATTTCTTTCATTTAAAACCCCATTTACTGGTGTAGCCACAAATCGTGCTAGCACCTATTCAAAGACATGATTACAACAAAGTACTCACTCTAAAATAAAATAAAATAAATAAAAAAACATATACACAGAACAAATACATCATGGAAACAACACTCTTTTGTTGATTTCCTTGAAAATTTAAAAAGAACAAAACATGATTAAGACTTTGGTTTTCAACATATATTGATTGACTCATGCTATGACACTAAATCAGAAAAGTGGAAGGATAAATCAACCAAAAAAAGAATAAGTGTTGTCCACAAACTAGTCAACAAAACATCATGTGCTATAATCCCAACCTCTTTGTCATCCAATCTGAAAGATTAGCTATCACAAAACCTGCAAACACCTGTAATCAACAATAATGTTGAATAAGATTAGCTATCACACACATGTATCAACCTATGAAGCATTGTATCTGATACAGACACGACACTGAAATATAAACACTGGTGATTGAAAGTAAGCACATGTGTCTGTGTTGTGTTAAACGTCAAACATGTTTTCAATCTAAAGTGTTGGTGTTACATGGATATTAACATCACAAATATAAATTATCCTATCAATGATGGAACCAACACTAAAACATTCAACAGAAAACATAAAGTTGCATATATTGTTAGTCCCAACCATACCTGAACTGAGCCAAGAATGTATAGTGCTGAATAATGCCGACCGTGGATTACCATATCAGCCAACATAGCAAGAGGAATAGTGAGTGACATGCCCAAAGTGGCCACGAGGGGAGTTGTCCATACAACACATAGTGCCCTGGGTTGTAAATCAAATAAAATCTAATGTAAGAATTTGCGTAACCGTGTTTATGTGCAGGCGCGCATAAATTAATAAATTTATTTCAAGTACCAGAAGTAGTCTGAGAGAACACTTCCAACAAATCCATTTGCAAGAACCACTTCATCCATTTTGGCAGTGTGAGGAATCGCAAACTTGGGTTCAATTCCTAAGGCCGACAACGGCCAGACTGAGTGGAAAAAATAGAAGAGAATTAGCAATCACTTAATGTGCAGCAATATATTAGAAATTATAAAACTGTTGAAATGTTGGTGACTTGTCAAAACACAAGAACCGAGTTAAAGCAAATGAAAATGATTGTGATCTTTATGGCACTGTTTGAGCTGACTTATTTGAGCTTATCTGCTAACATACACACTCATGAGACTTCTTGGAAGAGCTTGTGAAAATAGTTGATGACATGTCCATAAGATTGTTTCAGCTTATTTTCATAAGCTCTCTGAGATAACTTCCGAAAGCGGCATATAACTTAAATGAAAACAATTAGGCTTTATTTTATCTTTTGTAATAGAAATAGCTTATACATAAGTTGAATTTGACGAGTAACTACAGAAGCAGCGCTTGTAAAAAATAAACTTACTAAGCCACCATAGTGCTACAAGTGTAAACAGTCCAATATATCCAAACAGCTTTTGTACGTCAACACGTTCACCTTCTTCGCCAGAAAACTTTTTTAGAAGAACTGTGGCATTACGCTGTGTTATTATTCATCTAAATCATCTGGAAACAAGAAAATGTAAGAATGAGAGAGCTAAGACATTGTCTAACCAGTAAATAGACCATATGACATGGCTGAGAGAAGGCCAAAAAGATCTCCAACAAGAGAGCGCCGTCCGTTGCTGAACACAAATATCAACTGTCAACGCCCAAAAAATAGTATTACAAAGAGCAAGCACGTGATAATGCATATGAAAGACAGCAATTTATTTACTTAATGTTCTGCACCATAGTTATCAGTATCTTACGGTTAATGTGATCCATATTTTGATTTGATACTAAATTGAACTCAACGATACAAATATCTAGTGTTTATCTATTTCGACATTTTATATATTGATTCATTATGATGAATCTCGATTTATTCGGGTGAATCACATCCTAAACTTGGTCTAGCCAGCAAGATTTGAAAACCATGTCTGCACGATTACTAAAATAATGAAGCTAATTTGGTATTCAAAATAGATAGAAAGGGCTTACGAAGCAGTAAGTTGCGAGTCATCTGCGGCCCAAGTTTTTCCCAGAGTTGTCATGGCAACCCCGGCCATGCTGACCAAGACAGCAACTACTTTGGATACATTCAAAGTGTCTTGACCCATTAACACACCGATGAAAAGAGTGAAGAGTCCTGAAGTAGATGACAATACTGTTGTACTCGCGACACTTGTACGGGCAAGCGCAGCATTTGATAGATACTGATAGCAACAAATAAAATATTAAAGTAACAACATTACATTTCCTATATGTTGTCATATAACCGAATAAAATAGCACTATTACCTCTGTTACAAACCAGATAGGTGCAATGTAAAATCCATAAGTAGCGATTTCTTTTGCAGTAAGTTCTTTTTCTTCCTTTGCCACGCCAGTTTCATTATATATAGCCACCAATGGCGCTATCTCTGCAAGACTTGAAAGATCTATATCACTGTCTTTTCGAACCACATTCGGGAGTTCCATTTCAAAATTTTTCTGCACTCCATTTCCTTTGAGTGGAGAGCTAATCTTGATGGGAAACTCGTCCCCGCCGCTTTCTGCATTTTTTCTACTTTTAGAAGACCGGTGTTTAAGCAAGTTATAGAACCAATCCTTAATGAATGCTATTGGGAGGTAAACTACCATGAGAGAAGCTCCGAGATACGTCACCGCAAATGGCTGCTTATAATCTGTATAAATATTCTGCACAGAAAATTTTAATTCAGATAATCATTCATAGATATAAAGCTTGGATACTGGCACGCTACATGCTATGGTCTCCAATAAAAGATACCACTTGATCAGAGTTTCAAATTCCAATGGCATTTTGAACAAATTATTCTCCAACCAGATGATTTAGGTACTGAAATTCTATACGAATTGAAACAAAGATGTCAACTTACAACTTACAAGTTACAAACATAAATCCACATATATCATCCAACTAGAGGCAATCAGGGTCAAAACTAACAGAGCAAAAGGGATAAACCTCAACGACGCCAACAACAACAACCAATTCTTATCTCACTAAGTGAGGTTGGCTACATAGATCAAATTATGCCATAATCTTCTATCAAAGACCATATTTTTATCCAACTCATTAATCTCTAGATTTTTCCTAATACTGTAGTTTCTCTTATAGTAATTCTACGCCATCTTCTATCTCTAGTTGTTTGACTACGCTCCATCTAATTTACAAAATCCAGTCTTCTTCTCTCTACATGCCTGAACCACCTAAGCCTATTTTCCACATCTTTTCTACTATGAAATGGGGTTATCGGATAACCTCGCTCAAAGGAACTTATATTTTGAACGGGATCAAACCAAGACCTCCAATTATCCCTAAGTATCGCTATACACATTCTCCCCACTCGTGAACCTAGCACGCTTCCACATCGTGAGATTATCTATATCATATACCTACAAATCATTCCAAGCCAACAAAACTCTCCATCTCAAATCACCTTGATTACCCTTTTATGATTCAAATGCAAACTTTAGAGTAGCATATAAATAAAAAAATGATCAAATCTCATAACATATAGGAAGCTTCAAAATCAAGTCACATGAAGCAAAAACATATCAAACTGCATCCATCTCTCAAATTTCTGACAATTAACATAAGCCCCTATACCCTAACTCATAAGCCTCTAAAACACATAACAAACAAAACAAAGAAACCAAATTCACATATACCAAATGCAACAATGCCAAATTAACGAGAAAATCACATAATTCACACACTAAATTAAATAAATTTACCTGTGTAACTTCAGCAGAGCTGACCCATATGATAACAACAGTACCTATGAGAAATAACCCAGCTTTATATCTCAAACCCATCGAAAAAACCAAATCAACAAGACCCAGATGGAAAAAGTTCAAAGATCCACCACGCGTGTGTACTTTATCCAGATCGCAGAATGAATCCCCTTGAATATATCAATTTGTTAACCAAATCATGCGTGAAAAAGCTTGAATTGAAGCTAGTATGTGTGAGAAGAAAAAGGAATTGAAATTGTTGCAAGAGAAAAGAGGTTGAAAGAATCTTGCAACGTGAGAAAAGGTTGAGAAAATGGTTGGAATTGGAAGAAAGAGAAACAGAGGGAAAAACGTTAATTGTTAAATAGTATAAAAAGAATTTTTTTCTGTATTTGGTGATTATTTTTCAACGTTACTCTTACTCTATTCAAAGTCATGCATTTTTCTTTTTCTTTTTTTTTCTTTTTCTATTTATTTTCTATGATTGTGTAATAGAAATAGAACAAAATTGAATTATTTATTTTATATGAAAAAAATTGAATTATTGGTATTAGAAAAATCCGTGTCTCGATTTTTCGGGAATGTGATTTGCTTTTCAAAAACATTCTAGAGAAATTGAAATATATGCTAAATTTGTGATTTTAAATATTGTTATTTTGTGTGAAAAATAAATAAAAATATATTTATAAGTCTAATTTAATTAAAAGATTAAATTTATATATTAGATACATTTTTGGATGCTCTTTAATTTTAGTTGGATTATTAGTATTAATTGATTTAAAATTTTAATTTTTAAAAAATAATATGACGTTAAATATTTTTATTTGATTGGAGAATGATATCACTACCTAAAGATACTAAAATTTATTGAAAAAATATTTTTCTATTTGGTCAATTAGTTATAATCAGCATATAATTGAGAATGTTTGATTTTAAACATAATTATTTTTGGCATTTGGCATTTGGTTCTCTTTACATTTTTATTCCTTTAATTTTAAAAAATTAATTTTTTTTTCAGTTTCTTTTGTCTCGTTCTTCTCTCTTACCTTTTGATACCATTCATGTTTCTACAAAATAAAATTAAAAAACACTTATGTTTTTTATCTCTTTCTAAAATTCGTCCAAATCAGAAAGAATTTGTCAAAATAAGAAATCAAACTATACAAGAAAAGATGATGAAATACAAGTTTGAAGAGTTTCAAATCAAATCTATTTTGATGAATGAAAAAAAGTCGATTTTGACGGTGATGAAAGAAATAAATTAATTTCATTTATCTAAAAAAATTTTAATTCAATTTTTGACAACTTTTTAATCAAAGCATTTATAAAGAAATAAATGGAATTTAAGTTGGACGTAAATATGAGCGGTTAAAGTCTTACATTATTAATAAATAAGTGAAATGTTAAATTTATAAAAGAGATGATCAATTTATCTAACATTTTCAGATGTTAGGTTTTAGATTGAAATTTCTCTTGCGGTTCTAGAACATTAGTCTCATTAGTGCTTTTGACTTTTCCGAACTCTCCAACAATAATATCAAAGTTATAATTCAGCTTTTAGGAAAAGCGGGATCTGAACTCAGTGTTGTATTATGTTATAGAATGCGACGAACTCATACTTGTAGAGTGAATGTTGAGTGCAAATGTGAGTGATTAAAGTTTTATATTATTTATGAATGAGTAGAATATTAAATTTATAAGAGATATGCATTTATTTAATATCTTAACATTTTTAGTTAAGATGTGGTGTCTCTCTCTTATAGCATTGAAATATTAATCTTCCGACTCTTCCGAACTTTTAAATAAATTATGAAAGAATTAATGTAATATAATATAATATAATATAATATATGAAGACTCTCATTTGTGTGAATGTTTAACAATGTAAATGTTTTTCCTTATTCCTACAAGTTTTAGGTTCAATTTAAAACAAATTATAAATTAAATTTTGGAAAAATTTGAAAAAATATTGGTTATTTTATTTTTGTTGAAAATTTGATTATAATAAAAATCTATTGAAAATTCGGAAAATGTGTTAGAAATTTTGTTATTTTAATATAAAAAAATTATGCTTCCTATTTTTCAACAAAATTAAAACACTCTTGTCTAATATCTGTTGAACTTAAGAAATAATAATATTGAAGATAATTTTTTTATAATTATTATCATTTAATCAATAAATATAATTATTAAATAAATAATAATTTAAAATAATGTGATACCGCAATGTAGATCAAGTTAAAATAAATGTTTAATTATAGTTTTAGTCTTTCTATTTTACATGATTTATAAAATTAATCTTTTTATTTTAAATTTAAATAGATTTAGTCTCCTCTCATACTTTTACACTTGAAATAATGATCTTTTTATTTTTTAAATCACAAATCTCTTGTGAAACAAGAGAGAAGAAGACTAAAATTATTTAAATTTAAAATAAAAGATCAATTTTGTAAATCAAATCAAATAGGAGATAAAAAAATGTAATTTAACCTAAGATAAGTGACTAAAAATCTTATACTTAAAATTGTGAATAAAAAAGAAAAAGAAAAAAAAAAGAAGTAAAATGATTTTAGATTACTATTTTTAAAGTCAACAATGCTTGGAGTTGTGATTTATTATTAATGTAAATGCTTTTGTCTATAAAACTTAGTGGAGTTGTGATTTATTATTAATGTAAATACTTCTGTCTATAAAATTTATTACATACTTTTAATATCTAATCATTGTAAAAGCTTTTTCTTTAATTATTGGATATCATATTTTTACATTCTATAAATTTAATATTCTCTACTAATATTATTATAACTAAATTTTACTTTTTCTAACTTATTAAATACTCCCTCCATCTTAAAATAATTTTATTTTAAAGTTTATTACACATGGATTAAAAATAAGTAATAATTAAATAATTAAGTGTAACAATTTTACAATACTGTTATTAATTACTATTGATTATCACAAAAATATAGTATGGTTTAAAATTTTAAAAATAGTGTAGACAATATTTATTAGGAGTAAAGTTGATAAAAATGAATTAATGTTATATTGAAAACTTAAAAAGATAATTTTTTATAGCTAAAAAAACTTCATTTTGAAACAAAGAAAGTAAATAATATATTTAATTACATGAATTTAATTATTGACACATATTATTTTATCAAAACTCATAATTAATTTACTTAAAAGAAAATATTTTATATAAACAATGCACGATTTAAAAAAAATGGTTAGATGTAATAATTTTAATGATATAAATAATATTATTATTAATTAATTATAGTTAATAGAATAATTGAATAAAATGAAAGTTAATAAATATAAATATAATAATAATAATAAAATAATAACAAATAGTGCATTTGATAATATAAAAGATGATTATTTTGAGATAAAAAAAAGAAAAATGTAATTGAGATTTTTTTTATGAGACTTAACTTGTTTAAAGAGAAGTCTAAGATTATGATATAAACTTGAGAGAGCTTAATATACTATTATTCTAAGAAAACTACATGTCATTAAAAGTAAAGAAAACGGAGCAAGCAAAGAAAGATAAAGTGGAATTATCCTTAGTTAGTTAATGGGTCACTAGAGCAATGACAAACCAACTATAAACAAATATTAACAAAATAGGAATAATGAAAAAATTGCTGGCAGTGGGCAGTGGCGGGTGAAATAGCATTTATAATAACTATTTCGTCATAAAGAAGCTAATGGGTGGAAGTAATGACTTATAAGTTATGATAGAGACACCAATCATTTAGTATGATGTACACTACAAGGTTACTTTTTCTTCTTTCTCTTAAATATAAAATTTAGTCATCTTATTTGTGTAAATTATTCATACTATTTAAGAATAAAATCAACCTATGAGGTTTGAGGGTCATGGATTTTTGTTAGAATAGTTCACTTTGGGTTAGATTGTTAAAGTTCACGTTTTTATCTGATTGGTCAAGACTAATTATTGGGAGGTTATATATGTAATCTGTAAAATGGAACCAATTTCGTTGCTTTTGTATTAATTTTTTTCAAAAAGCTAACATCACGTTACAAAACCTACTCGTTTGCTTTTGTACCATGTAACTTCGCACAATTCCTTTAGCTTATCTGATATTTGTTGGAATTCAACTACGGTCTATGGTGAATTCTTCTCAATCTTGATCTCAAGATTGTTATGTAATGACAATGAATAAAAACAATATCACGTTTAAAGAAGATGAGTTTGAACTACAGAGTAACTCTCTACCCATAACTGTGGAATTTTATTATCACTTTGCAACTGCAAAACCGTGATTATCAAACTTGATGATTACAATGATAATGGTTCCTCCCTATTTGTAGATTTAGGTTAACTTGCATCTCAAGCTAAAACTCAAACTATAAAAGTCCAAAAATATCTAATCTGATCTTTCTAAATAAAATCCGATCTTTCTAAATCAAATCTAATCTTTCTAAAACAATGAATTACATATTTAACACACCACCTAATTTATTGTGTCTAAACTATCCACATCCATCATAGACCTTAGCTTCATGAACATTTCGACTGACACTCCTTTCGTCATGATGTCTGCAATCTGATTCTCAGTTCTGCAGTGTTCCGAGTTCATTTTCCCTTCCGCTACCTATTCTCGAAGATAATGGAACCTCATTTCGATGTATTTGCTTCGATTGTGTGCTATTGGATTCTTCGCCAAGTTGTTAGGTGGCATGTTGTCGACCTTCATGGTAATTGTTCCACGACTCTTCGTTGTAATCTCTTCGACCAGGCTCACCATCCATGTTGCTTGACATGGAAAAAGAGAAACAACTATGTATTTTGCTTCGCATGACGACAATACCACTACTAGTTCCTTTCTCGAACTCCAAGCAACTGGTGCACCACCTAACAAAACAAATAGCCAGCTGTGGATTTTCTATCCTTAGCATCACTACACCAACTTGAGCCAGTGTATCCCACTAACTTGCATTCTTTTTCTTTATCAGCTGCAGGAATAAAAAATGTCGTAGTCAAGAGTTCCTTTCAGATACCTCAGTATCCTCTTCGTTGCTTCTAGGTGTGATACCTTTGGCTTCTGCATGAA